TGATGGTGCACACCTGTAATCCCAGCCATTTTGGAGGCTGAAGCAGGAGGATCACAAGTTGGAGATTGCCTCAGCAATTTATCGAGACTCTAAACCACTTGGTGAGACCGTGTCTGAAAATATAAAATATAAAAGGCTGGGGGCAAAACTCACTCCTTGGTTCAATCCCAATCCCCAGTACAAAAGAGAAATTGGTTTATTTTTTTTTCACTTTTTTATTGGCATGTTATAGTTGTACATAATGGTGGGATGTGCTGTTACATATTTGTACATATATACAGTATTGTTTTTAAAATTTGCATATTTTTATTGGTGCATTATATTTGTATACAATGATTGGAAACATTTGACAGACATGAGTATACTGTCTTTTTTATGAAATCAAGAGTATTTGGATTTATATTTAGCAACTGATGATTTAATATGTTATAAACAACACAGATCTTTTAAAATATATATTTATAAATATTTATTCTATTTATACTTACCTAATTTATCCATTTTAATAGCTATTTGGAGATTACCCATGAAACCAAGATATCAGACAAGCACAGTTAACATTCCAAAGTTATTATTTTTGTCAAGAAAAACCCTAAAAGCAGGTGAGCACAGGAGCACCCACAGCTACTCGGGAGGCTAAAGCAGGAGGATCCCAGTTTTGAGATCTGACATAAAACTATCTAAAGTATAGCAAGTGAGCTGGGCCCAGGGGCTACTCCTGTAATCCCAGCCATCAGGGGGCAGAGGCAGGAGGATCTCGGGTTCAAGGCCAACCTGGGCAACTTAATGAGACCTTAAGCAATTTAATGAGACCCTGTTTCAAAGTAAAAAAATATTTATTTTTCTGAAACCCTCAAAAAATTTTTAAAAAGGGATAGGGATGTAGCTCACCCTATATAGCAACTGCACTTTCCCAAGGTGTAACCATTTTTAGACAGACAATGGTGGGGGTGGGGTGGGGTGATCAAGAGGACAAAGAGAAGGACACTTTTCCTTCAGGGCTACATCTGTTAAAGAGACAGGTCAATATTGAAATAACTTATTTCCCCAAGTATTGAGTACAGAGAATGTGAAAATAAACACAAGAATCAGCGTGACTCGGTCAGAGCACAGGCTCAGGATGCTCCTGAGGGTGCAGCACAGGATGGGCTGGCTTAGCTGCGGCATGGAAACTGGCACTCAGATCATTAAGAGGCTGCCCCGGAAGACAGATCAGGTCTACTGTGGGGATTACTGGGGTTGGCTGCTTTCTGGTGTCACATTTGAAGAACTGAGGGGGAACTCAAAATGCTGGGAGGCCCATCCCTCATGCCGGCTGTTCCCTCCCACCCACCCAGGGCCAGGGCTGGTGGTCTGGAAGTGTCTTCTGTGGCCAGTGTTTCATGAACAAGCCCTAAGCCCTCTCTTCTAAGGGCCCAGAAGGGCTTTAGACAAGGAAGAGAGAACTATCACTTGTTCAAGTCCTATAGCGGCTTGAATTGAAAAGTGACACTTTTTGCCTTTGGTTTCAAATGGACTTAGGTAGCACCTCACAGCCAGTGACAGCCTAGCTCAACAAGGGCAGACTGGGCCATTCCGCAACTGCAGGGTAAAGCAGAGAGGAAAGGAAAGACTTAAAGCCCTTTGAGCTCCTTCATGGTTTCAGAGTTCTAATACCCTGCCAGACCCCTGGGTGGGTGTCAGCCAGCCCCTATTGCTACTCCAATCTGCATGGCTTGGGGCTTCCCCAGACACCCAACGCGGCCAGTAAGGTGACTCCAGTTTGGCTCTTCAGTCTTTAGAAGTGGAGGAAACAGAGGGAAAGACCAAGAGAGGAGCATCCACGACACATGTCAGAGCCAGGCAGAAGGGGAGGGGCTCAGACTCTCCAAAGTCCAGGCCTCAGGGTTCCCACCTGGGGCGCCAAGAGATGAAGTCATGGGAGAGAAGCAGTTATCACCAGAGAAGGGTCCTCAGAGAGGGAACTGCACTCAGGGGAGTTCCCATATACACGTGATGAAAAAGAAATTTCCAGCAAATGTCAACAGAGGTACAGATTTATTTAGGAAAGCTGAGAACATACATTCAAGGGAGAAGGCAGCTACCTCCAAAGTGAGGGATGTGTTTTTGGGGTTCCTGTCTCTTCTTTTGAATAAAACTTAGGAGTGTGGGCATTGCAAGGTATGTAGGGATATCAAGAGGTATATGTACACAATGGAATATTAGTCAGCCTTAAAGAATGAAATTATAGCATTTGCAGGTAAATGGATGGGGTGGAGAATGTCATGCTAAGTGAAATAAGCCAAACCCAAAGAACAAAAAGGCTGAATGTTTTCTCTGCTAAGCAGAGGCTGATCTATAATTGGGGGACGGGTTAAAGAAGAACAGAGGAACTTTGGATTGGGCAGGAGAGTGAAGGGAGGGGTGGGGAAGGACGGTAAAGACAAACATTATCACCCAGTATACATGTATGATTAC